TAATTGTTGTAACTTTGCAAGATTTGGATGTCTCAATTGAACATGAAACGTGGGTAGAGTCTACCACAAGAGCAACATGAAAGAAATTCTTGAGCAGTTGAGCTTGTTCAACATGGAACCATCGAGAATGGGCTGATTTGGACCTGGTGTGTCTGCTTGAGGGTTTGATGGCTGTGGGAAACGGAGTAGTCTTAGGAAAGAATAATTTTCGAACAGTATTTTTAGAAAGTAATAATTAGGAGATTTGTTCATATGTACAGATATGTAAAAATAAAGATCCCATAATTAAAGGGATCCTAGAATAGCATAGGAATTAATGGTGTTTCCTAAAATAGCATATGATTGCTGTATATATTCTGTACATTGTTTCAATGAAAGATATACCAATTCTTAACCTACTTTTGAGATGGTATCAGAGCTCCCGACTTAGGGGGCTCTGTCTATGCACTCTTAACCCTAAGACAGTAGCCTGCATTGCTGCCGCATTCTGCACTCTTAACCCTAAGACGGTAGCCTGCATTGCTGCCGCATTCCGCACCATTAACCCTAAGATGGCAGCCTACATTGCTGCTAAATTCCCTGTGCCTTGATCGCACAAATACCCTGTTTTCTACTCTCTCAACCTCTATTGATTTTGTGACTCTACCTGCATAATGTCAAGTGAAGAAGTCGTGAATCCTACCCCAGAAAAACGGGATATCCAAGCCCAACAGACTGGAGAGCTACAAGTGGGCCCAGCTTGTTTGCACCATACTCAAGGGAAAAGGGAAGTCAGGTCACCTGACTGAAACTGCACCTAACAAGGAAGAGCCCAAGTTTACTAAATGGGATGAGGAGGATTCAATGATTATAGCGTGGCTCTGGAATTCAATGATTTCAGAAATAAGTGATACTTGTATGTTTCTTAACTCTGCAAGAGAGGTTTGGGACGCTTTAGAGCAAACCTACTCTAAAGCCAAAGATGCTGCCCAAGTATATGACATAAAAGTAAAAACCTTGGCAGCAAAACACAAGGGAATAGGACTGTTACTGAGCTGAAGTCTCTGTGGATGGAATTGGACCATTATAGGGTCATAAAAACTAAATGTTTTGAGGATACAACAATTTTGAAGGAATATATTGAACAGGACAGGGTGTATGACTTCCTTGTTGGTTTGAATTCTGAATTTGATCAAGTAAGGATTCGAATCTTGGGGAAGCAGAAGGTACCATGCTTCAATGAAACAGTAGCAATTGTCAGAAGTGAAGAAAGTTGGAGGAGTCTCATGTTGGATATTCCTGCAGTAGAAAACTCTGCTGTGGTGGCTGAACAAATGAAAGGAGTATTCACACTCACGAGGAAGAAAAATGATCTTTGATGCACCTACTGTAATAAGCCACACCATATCTGAGAGAAATGTTTGAAACTGCATGGAAAACCTCCAAACAGAGACCGAGAAGGAGGACACAAAGGCAACCCTTCAAAGAAGGGAGGACAAGCTCATATTGTTGATGAAACAAGTTAGGAAAGGAAACTGGAAGTTACGGCCCAAACTGTTGCTAACCTCAATCAAGATGAGATAGAACGGGTGAGAATCTTTTTCAGCAAATTAGAAAAACCTACAGGTGCGTGTTCCTTGACATACTTAGGTGAGTTTCCTTTTTCTTTTGGACTAAATGTCTCATATACAAACTTTAACCAATACTGGATCCTAGACTCTAGAGCCACGGACCACATGACACCATTAGCCAAACTCTTCTCCATAGACTCTCCATGCCCTAGTAATAGGAAAGTTGCCACAGCCGATGGAACTCTTATAACTGCAGCTGGTTGTGGAAGTGTTCAAATCAACCCCTCAATTACTCTGAAAAATGTTCTCCATGTCTCAAAATTATCTACCAATTTAGTTTCCATTCAAAAACTCACCAAAGACTTGTCATGTAAGGTTGTATTTCACACCAATCATTGTGTTTTTCAGGACAAGGATTCGAGAAGGACGATTGAACATGCTAGAGAATGGAATGGCCTCTACTTCCTTGAAGATCCAAATCTGTCCAGCCAAGGCAGAATCTGTCACTCCTTCAACTCAGAATCTATGTTAACCAATAGAGAAAAAGTCATACTTTATCATCGTCGATTGGGACATCCCTCCTTTAGAATCCTCAGAGTTATGTTTCACTCTTTATTTCACAAAATAAATGTTGAGAGTTCTCATTGTGATGTGTGTGAATTTGCTAAACACAAGTGTGTACCTTTTCCAATTAGTAATAAAATTAGCACATTTTCCTTCTATCTTGTTCACACTGATGTTTGGGGGCCCTCCACTGTTCCAAACATGTCCAGTGCTCGGTGGTTTCTCACCTTTATAGATGACTGTACTCGGGTCATGTGGGTTTTCTTACTTAAACAAAAATCTGAGGTCAGCTCAGTCTTTCAAAAAATTTTCCTCATGGTAAAAAACCAGTTTGGTGTTTACATTAAGAAGCTTCGATCCGACAATGCTAAAGATTATTTCAATCATGTCCTTATTTCCTTTTGCCAAAAGAAAAGAATAATTCGTGAGTCTTCGTGTGTCAAAACACCACAGCAAAATGGGATTGCGGAAAGGAAAAATGGGCATATCCTTAATCAAACTAGGGCATTACTGTTTCAGAATAATGTTCCAAAAAAACTATGGGGAGAAGCTGTCCTTATTGTGACCCATCTCATCAATAGATTACCCTCAAAAGTCTTAGGATCAAAAAGTCCTATGGAAGTTTTGTCATCTTTCTATCCAAATCTGTCCACTACCAACAATCTCAAATTGCGAATTTTTGGTTGTCTCCTTTGTTCATATTTGTAGTACCGATAGGGGGAAACTTGATCCTAGATCCTTGAAGTGTGTCTTTGTGTGTTACTCTTCTACCCAAAAAGGTTATAAATGCTATTGTCCACCGTCCAAAATTTTTTTTGTGTCTCGGGATATCACTTTCAATGAACAAGAAGGCTATTTTAGTATACCTTATCTTCAGGGGGAGAATCTTGGTGAAGATAAGGAAACACAGGCTGGCCCAAATTCTGTCCTCCCTAACTTAACTTTTGAATCCTTACGTGATCATATTGAAGGTGAAGGTGATCATGAATCAGAACAAGGAGGTGTTGAAGCTGTACTTGAATCAGACCAAGGAAGTGTTGAAGTTGTACCCGATACAAGGTATGGAAAAAACTTGGTGTATTCGAGAAAGAAAAAGGCCATTCCAAGCTCGACCCATGTCCAAGACTCCAATCTGGCTCTGCAAACAGAGGTAATACCCTTTGATTCTTCAACTATGCAGGTTGAAACCGAAACACAGAATGATGACCTTGACCTTCCGATTGCTATTTGAAAAGGAACGAGGGAATGCACCAAACACCCACTGTATCCTCTCTCCAACTACTTGTCCTTTAAAAATTTCTCCCCTACCCATAAAACCTTCCTTGTAAACCTAAACACCTCAAACACACCTACTACCCTATCTGAGGCTTTGTCTGACAGAAAATGGAAGCAAGCCATGGATGCTGAGATGGATGCATTGTAAAAAAACAGCACCTGGGAGTTAGTTACTCTGCCAGATGGTAAGAGACCAGTTGGTTGTAAGTGGGTCTACACAATAAAATACAGGGCTGATGGAGCAATTGAGAGATATAAGGCAAGACTAGTTGCCAAAGGTTTCACTCAAACCTATGGGGTAGATTATTTGGAGACTTTTGCTCCCGTTGCTAAGATGAATACGGTTAGAGTAATATTGTCTCTTGCTGCCCATTGTAATTGGAATTTGCAACAATTCGACGTAAATAATCTTGGAAGAATTTAGGGCCATGGCACAAGGTGTATGTGAGTTACTATGGCTTAAAATAATCTTGGAAGACCTAGGGATAACATGGGAAGAACCTATGAGACTATATTGTGACAATAAATCAGCAATTAGTATAGCCCATAACCCAATCCAACATGACAGAACTAAGCACATTGAAGTAGACAGACATTTCATCAAGGAAAAACTCGATAGTGGCTTGATATGTACTATGTGTCCTCTCAACAAAAACTTGCTGACATCCTCGCTAAGGGACTGAGCAGCCATAGTTTTGAAAGGATTATATCCAAGCTGGGAATTGAAAATGACTATTCACCAGCTTGAGGGGGAGTGTGGGAAACAGAGTAGTTTTAGGAAAGAATAATTTCCGAACAGTATTTTTAGAAAGTAATAATTAGGAGATTTGTTTATATGTACAGATATGCAAAAATAAAGATCCCATAATTCAAGGGATCCAAGAATAGCATAGGAATTAATGGTGTTTCCTAAAATAGCATACGATTGCTGTATATATTCTGTACATTGTTTCAATGAAAGATATACCAATTCTTAGCCTACTTTTGAGAATGGCCAAAAAAAGATACAGGTAGTGGCAGTGGTGTCGAAATAGTTGCAATGAAAGAGAAAAATGAAGTAAACTAATAGTTTGGAAACTAGAGATGGAGCATGGTTTCCAAAAGAAAAGAAACTTGGCACTGGTGGTAAGTGGGTCCACTAGGTAGACACAATTGCCCCCCGTCAGGCTTTAGATACTATGTTGAGAGAGATGAGAGAAACAAGAGGAATAGGATGGATCCATGTCTCTTAATATACAGCAAAGCTAATTATTAATATTGAGAACACAATAAATACATGATTTTTAGTTACATAGAATCATGCGAATTAATGTTTACTATAATTACATAATTTTCCTTTTTACAAAATTACTGGATTTATATTTTTTACAACACCTTGGAATGCTATTATCATTTTAAACTGTGTTTGTGGCACAATTGGACACAATCATATTTTTTATGAACGTATTAAAATTTTTGGATGAAATTATTGTATTATTTTTCTTCCTCTTTGTTGTGATTAGTGCTTCTGGGTTCTTGGAGTCTATCTATGCATGCCCAAACACTTGCTATGGATTTATATGACAAAATTGACAGACTGAACTGAATATTCCTTTTTTCCAAGAAATGCAGATTGATAAAAGAATGGATAAACTAAAGAAAGGCAAGGCGAAGGATTCACAATCAAAACTCAAGGTTGTTTGTCTTCAAATGCTAGCATGAGTCATTGACGCTTGTGTTTATTAGTTGAAATACATCATTCAACTTGATTTTGAAATTCTTGATTTTAGGAAGAGGCAGAAAAGTCTGGATTGGAAAAGATTTGTCAGGCTCTGATGGATGGAAAACCTGCACGGTCGGTGACCTTAACAGATTTTGAAAGGGATGCTATAAAGCATCTCTGCTTGCTCACCATGAAACCTATTATATATGTAGCAAATGTTGCAGAATCTGATCTAGCTGATCCTACAAACAATAATTATCTAAAGGATGTCACAAATGTTGCATCTGCGTTGCAGTCAGGAATTGTAACAATTTCAGCACAGGTATGCATTTAGGAAAGGCTTTTGATTTCATTAAACTATTAGATAGATAGAGATGTTACCGTAGTTGTTACTCTTAGTTAATATAGTTATTCCAGTCTTTTTGTTTTTTAAATGGCTGTACAGTTGTTTAAGCTTGTTGTGCTGGCTTTCTTTCTCTGATAAAAATATACGTAGTATTGTTCACACTTTCACCGTTCAATGGTTTCTCCTTCCTCTTCTAGTCTTGCATGGTATCTAGAGTCAGGGAAGAAAACAATGGCATCTATCCACTTGCCCACTGCCATGCGAAGATCATTAAACTCATAGATTCCATTCTCATGAAGTGGTGGTGACCTGTTCATGCATGCGACCTTTCTAGTCCTTAAGTTCATCATTCCAGTGGGTTCAACATCAAGGAGTCTGTTAGAAAAATGATTTTAATAATGTGTTTATATTTGTGTAATGGTTACTGTAAATAGGGGATTTGATTGATTCTTTGAACTCATTTTTGTGATTATAAATACATGTGTGTAGTCATCTCTAAAGACTTTCTCTCTATAGTGTCTTTGAAGTTTAAGACTGGTTTGGATGCAGAAGTTTGCCACCAGATGCACTTCTACTTCCTGGGAAAAATCTACTGTTGGAAGCTATTGAATTTACATTGTTGAAATTGGTCCAGATGGTTAGGTTGATTGCATAGGAAGGGGAATGTTTGGTTGCTAAAGGATATAATCAGATTTTTGGCCTTGACCATAGTGATATATTCTCTCTTTTAGCCAAAATGTTCTCTGTTACTCCCTTTATCTGTCTGCTATTTGTTATTGGTCTCTTTACCAATTGGATATTAAAAATGCTTTTCTTCATGATGAATTGCAAGAAGTGTACATGGAGCAACAAGCCCTCCACTAATGATCATACTAATAATGACCATCTTCTTCGCTATAGGTGTTGTTAGTCAATTCTTAACTTTAATAAGTGAGGATGACTGAAATGTGATGGTCCATATACTAGAATATATTAAAGGAGCTCCAAAAGAAAGAAATTATCTCTGAAGATAAGGGTCATTGTTTGGACCACCAATAATATTAATAGGAAAGAGAAGAAGGATTTTATTGAATTAAATGGAAAGAACCTTTGAAAATTGTATTAGATGATTTGAAAGTGTTAGAATCTATTAGAATCTTGTAAATATAATAACTGTATATTTTGTAATTATATACTCTTCTCTATAAATTGGAATAACTCTGTTGTGCCCTAAACACACGGATTTAATATTTTCTCTCTCAACATGGTATCAGAGCTTAGATAGGCAACCCTAATCCGTTTTACTTCCCAGTGGACTCACTGTTCATTGGTGCCCTTTTTTTTTCCGGTGCCGCTGCCACTGTTCCGGCACTGCCGCCGCCGCTGTCTGACCTCCAATCACTACGAAAACCCCGCTGTTGTGGTCGCCCTTGTCAGATCGGCCGAACCCCGCTGATTGCGCCTTCATCGGAGCCCTCATGCGCTCCACGCATCGCCCTCTCCTCAGTCTGTTTTCTCACTCACCATTTTCTCTCTCCGCGCGTCGAGCATCCTTTCCTGACGCTGTCGATTGGGGTTTTCTCGCCCCTCTTGCCTCTACCTGTATCCGGTGTCAGTTAGCTGTTTGGACATTTATACACCTTTGTTTTGCCCTTTTTCGCTGCTGTTTGGGCATTTTCTCTCTCTTCTCGCTGACCAATGGCTGCCTCTAGCACTCCAAAAGCAAGCACTCCAAAAGCAAGCACTCAGATTTTTACCAACCATGTCATTGCACCTCTTTCTTCTAAGCAGTTGGATGGTAAGCACTACTCCTCCTGGGCTTCTCACATTGAACTTTGACTTGTTGGACAGGGTTATGAGACACATCTCAACCAAACAGCATATGATGTCCCGGAGGCCGACTTTCCTCTGTGGAAAAAGGTTGACGCTCAGCTGTGCTGTATCATCCGAGCCATCATTCACCCATCTCTTCGTGATGTCTTTCGCACTCACAAAACCTGCAAAGCTGTTTGGACACAAGCCCAACAACTCTTTACAAACAGTTGCTTCAAGAACTAAAGTTCGGAGAGGTCACACATATATAACTTATATGTGATAATCAAGCCGCTATGCATATTAGCTCAAATCCAGTATTCCATGAAAGGACAAAACACATTGAAATTGATTTTCACTTTATCAGAGAGAAAGTCATGTCCGGAGAAATATCTACTAGTTTTGTCAATTCCCATGACTAACTAGCAGACATATTTACTAAGTCACTAAGGGGTCATCGAATTAACTACATATATAACAAGCTTGGCGCATATGACCTATATGCTTTAGCTTGAGGGGGAGTGTTAAAATTTATTAGAATTTTGTAAATATAGTAACTGTATATTTTGTAATTATGTACTCTTCTCTATAAATTGGAATAACTCCGCTGTGCCCTAAACACATGGATTCAATATTTTCTCTCTCAACAGAAAGAAATGTATGAAGGTCCTATGAAGTTATTGTGTTAGCAGATGTAATTGACTAAGGGGGTGCCTACCAAATGATTTCAAGAGCTTATTTGCAAGCTGTGTTTGATTTCCACTCAGTACCTTGAAAGGGGTAGGGGGTTGTAAATACTATAAATATATGTTGTAATTGTAAATGCAGTAACTATTCCATTTTAGGAAGAGTAATCAACTGATTTTATTCTATATTTAATGTTATGAATCATATCAATTATTAGGATTGATTTTATTAGTTAATGAGACAGATTTTGTTCAGAATTAGACTTGGTGTATATATTAGTGATTGTAATCACTAATCAGTCTTTCTCAACTGAAATAATAATATTCAGAATTGCCTTTCCTTCAAGTTATGTCATTAATATTGGAATGGGTACAATTTAAGTATAAGAATATGCAGTTACCAGATAAATATAATTACATTACAATAATAAGAACTCTCCTATACTATATTTACATGTTTCCATCAGGGATGTTACCATAGTGTTTTCGAGTTACTCTAATTTGAAAAGATAGCCTAGTCATTCTTTTACTTTTAAAATGATTTTACTACTTTTAAGCTTGCTGAGAGCAAACTCTTTCTCTGACAAAATATCAATAGGGCTGCGTGGCCCTTTTCCTTTTCAATGGGGTTTCCTTTCTATTCTAGTTTCACATATAGCATTTGATTTTTTATTATTTGAACTTTACATGTGTTTTCACAGGGCATGTTGCCTCGTAGCAACATTTTCTAGAACTGTTGTGCTTGTCTTATCATCATCTCTGAAGATTAAGAAAACAATTATTGACATTTTTGTTATTGTCACCACATAGAATCAAGATGAGGTTATTTGTCCTTGCAGGTTGAGGCAGAGCTTACTGAACTACCAATTGAAGAAAGAGAAGAATATTTGAAATCTCTTGGTGTAAGTGAAAGTGGTCTTGGGAACCTAATTAGGGCAACCTATGACCTTTTGGGGCTGCGTACTTATTTTACTTCTGGTGAGAAGGTAATAGGAAGCTCAAAAAGTTTTAGAGAGAAATATAGTTTTAATATCCTGTTAAATGTATATATATATTGATAATAACATTCAAAGATTTGAATTGCTTGATTAATCCAGTAATTGATAAGTAATTTGTCCTAAGCTGTGAAAATGTTCATCAAGACATAAATTGTAACTCCAGAAGTTTTGATTGCATATCATATATTTAATGCTCAAAACTGATCATGTTTTCTAATGTGTACACAGGAGACAAAAGCATGGACAATACTTGCAGGTTAGTATTTTCTTGCTGGATGAGACTCTAAATTGCACAATACTACTTGGTACATTACTTTTGAATGGATTTTATCCTTTTCTGAACACCCTGTTCAAATAATTGCCCACATAGTAGTAATTTAAATAGGGTATTAAAATGGAATTTATTTTTATCTTTGGATGGGCAATTAAGTGACTATTTTTCCTTTTGTTGAAATATGCCTCTGTTTACATGATCTTGTGCACCTTTCTTTTGTAAGATTGATTGCATATCTTAGTATGGAATATCAAATCTGATTGATTAACCAAACATAATTAATAATGATATAAGGATTCTAGTTAGATTGGATTACTCTTCTAAAGTGTAAACCTTTGTTGCACTAGGAATGACTGCACCTCAAGCTGCTGGAGTTATTCACTCTGACTTTGAGAAGGGTTTCATTCGAGCAGAAACTGTAAGTAACAAGGATATAGTTTTGAACTCCTATTTATAATCAATTATAGCATATGACTTGGCACAACAAGTATTTTACAAATTAAAGACAAAAAGAAAAAGGTGGAGGTGAATTTTGATGTTTAATACTCTAGAAAATGTGGGGGAATAGGCTATACTTGACAAACTTCAATGGTAAGAATAGTTAGTTTTGCTCAAAGTTTATGCTAGAAAATATGAAAAATCTTAAATTTGGGCTTGCGCCTTAGTGTCATAAGGTGACTCTTGCATTTGTCTTTTTAAGTTTTGCTATGATTGTATCTACGTTTGATGCGGGATCTGAACACGCCCCCTCATGCTTAGAATCAGACATCTGAAATTTGGAAATTGTAGGACTAATTTTTTGATTGCACTAGAAAAGTCGTGGGACTAGGTAAATTGCCATGGGATATCCATGGATCCAGTTTAATTACACTAGGAAAATTCTTGTGGCTAGGTTGATTTTTTTTAATCAAAGAGGGCTTGATATTGGATTACAATAGGCTCTAATACTATCTTAAGTTTGGGCTTGAGCCTAACTCAACTCCAGAAGGTAGCTTGTATGGTGATGATTGATAAGATCAAATAAAAAGAAAGTAGAAAAAAGCAAAAGAATTAAAAACGCAATTACTTTAGATTAATGAATTCAAATTCTAATAAACTCCTAGGAATTAGTTTCCATACAGTGGCAATTACACACGCGAACTTGGGTTGCTAAAGCAATTCATTTCTGAGTTGCAGTTTTGTAAGGTAGGATCTATAAGGCTTATTTGTGATAACCAGACAACCTTGCACATTACCTCTAATTCTGTTTTTCATGAGCCAACCCAACATATAGAGATTGATTGCCACTTCATTAATGAGAAGGTTCTTTCCTGTGAGATTATCACATCATTTGTGAATTCCAATGACCAACTAGCTGAAAAACTTATTGAGTCACTTTAAGGTCCAAGGATAAATTATATTTGTGATTAGCTTGATGCATGTTATATATTCCGTTATTAATGTAGTTACCATTCTTTCCTTATATATATATATAGAGAGAGAGAGAGAGAGAAATCTGATTTGATATGTAATTAAGTTAACTAGGAACAGCTGTAATTACTCATTCAATCCCTATATCAGGGGATTCAGATTTGTACAGAATTACATTACAAATACCATGGCTGCTGAATGTAATTAAGCATTCAGTTTTAAACCTAATTAGTCTGTTTCTGTCTCAAGTAGAACCTATAAACTTATGCATGAATTGCACACATAAAAGGAGAGAAGATTGCTCAAATCTTAAAAGGAGTTTCTTTTTAGTCATATTCCTATCTAATGTGAGATATCTTAACACATTCCTCTTGCTTGAGACAAGACATCTATAGTGAATTTTTCATGAACTGGACATTTTATAGCTTTGATACCATGTTAAAAATTGAACGGGCCCAATTCAACCTTAGAAGCTAGCTCTCGAGGGGGAGGATTATCCAAGTCTCATAAGGAGTATTTTTTACATTCTTAATTGATGTTGGAACATCTTAAAAAAGAACAAGTTTTGATAAGTTAAAACTTTGTTTTAAATATCCAAGAATTAGCTTTCTGTATTTATTTTTGACTTATACTGCACTAGTATAGGCAAAAATTAAAGGTGGTTCTCACTGTATTTGGCAACTGAATCAAGTGAGACCCTACAAAAATATTATTTTTATTACTTACACTATTGTGCTTATTTGAAGCATGTCAAAGTTTGCATACTGCATTTATTAACCTTCATTAAAAATGTTATTTTAAATTAGGTGTCATATGATGATTTTGTTGCTGCTGGTTCACTAGCTGCAGCGCGAGAGAAAGGACTTGTAAGTTGCTTATATCATTTTCCTCCCTGTAAACTTAGTTTATATATATATATATATATATATATATATATTATTTTACTTTTAGTAGTGTTTGCTTATCATGTTTTTGACATTTGTTGAAACATGTGATTTAATTGGTCATTTGGATTTTTGTTCAACATGACCTGAATTCATTGGTTTAATCAAGGAAATTATGCTTTCATTTTTTCAACCATTCTTGTGTCTTTCAATTGATAATCTGAACTGTTACATTGCTGGCATATTAATTAGGCTGTTCAATACTCTTCATGCCATCCTAGTATCAAATGGATACCACTTTACTTGTCCATAACAAAATGATAGTAAACTTGGCAAGGAAGACAATGATTCCTTAGATAATATGTATATGTTGAAAGGGACTGTCTATTGCCACTCTGATGGACATCCTCCAATAACTAGAGTCTTTAGTAGGAGGATAATATTTTGGGTAATAGAGGTCTTAATATGTTGTAACAGAATAACATAATCTGTTATATAGTTAGTATGAATTGGCAGAGGGAAACAGTGACAAAAGAATAGAATCTGTTATATTAGTACTAATGGGGGAGGGAAACCATAGGGACTTGGGAGAGGTGTGGATCTGTCGAATATTTAGGAATCAACATTCTTTTTGTACATCCTTCCAATTCTTGGTGTTGCACCACATTGGGGCAAGATCAGGTTAGGGTTTTTCATTAATAATACACTCTTTTCATTCATATTTTGATCCATTTTCAATCAACTGGTATCAAAGCTCCAATCGTAGAGCTGGGGGTGCATCTTGAAGACAATCCAAGAGGTGTTTCTGGTTAGCAAGAATGAACAAACAGATTTTTGAAAAATTCAAGAAAGAATGCGTGAGATACCAACATTTGAAGGGGAAGCCTATTGGTGACTGATTAATGTGAAGCAGTGCTTTGAGGCCACGGGAATACTCAATGAAGAAAGGATATAAAATGTGGAAGGCTAGTTCAAGTGCGTAATGGTGGGATTAAACGAAGGCTTTAGCTTAATAGGTTCCAACTTTAATACAATAAATTGGACGAATATGTGTTTTAATTATACAATGGAGCATATATTTATTTGATAGTCATAAATAAAATGTAATTACATAATATACAATTACTTAATTACCATAATTACAAAGATAAATTTTCTTATTATTATAATTGCATAATTTAACACTCATCAAGTAGGTGGAAATTTTTTCAGTCCTCCTAGAATACCTACTCATTTCCTTTATATAGAAACACACACCCATGCATGACTAGTTTTCCCCTAATTTAAAATTTTAAAATTAAAAATAAAGAAGTTACCAAATAAGGAAATATCCGCAAAGGAGTAGATACCACAAGAGTATTGAAATAGACCATATGCACCAAGTTTGTCACATATAACCAATAAGAGAACCTCTCAAAGACTTGATGAAGACATCTGCCAATCGATTATTTGAATTAACAAAGCTAGTGGTGATATCTTAGGATAAAATTTCCCTAATGAAGTAGCAAACTATCTCAATATGTATCTTCCTCTTGTGAAACACATGATTTGAGGCAATATGGGGGGCACATTATCACGAATGAGTTTCATTTGCATAATCTCTTGAAATTGTAGTTTGTTGAGCAATTGTTTAAGCCATATAAGTTCGTGTGGCTAAAACCATGACTCAATATTTTACTTCTACCCTTGAACAAGCTTTCTTTCTTTTTCAAGAATTCAAATTATCTCCAATAAGAATGCAATCAATAGCTAGAAGTGGATTTCCTATCAACAAGAGAGCATGCCCAATCTATATCAAAGTAACCCACAAATTGAGTGTGACCTTGGTCTTCATACAAGAGTCTTTTTCTTGGAGGACTTTTGATATATTTTAAGATGTGAATTACTTATTTGTATCCCATTGATCTTCACATGGGGTTAAGGGGTATTAGCATAAGAAGTTTGATGAAGAGTTTCATGTGAAGACCAAAAAATGACATATTCTTTACCTTCGGTTCACTTGATTGAAGTTGTGGACTAGGTCAAGTTTTCTTCTCCTCTAGTAAACCAAGGTAGTTGTGCTTGGTTTTGTTGGCACTAAGTCACTTTTCTCTTTTTTTGAGTCAAAGGAAGGAGAAGCCAATTCCTGTAGATAACAAGGATTAAGAAGAAGGAATGACAATGACTCATGAGGTCATCAACAGACTCAACTTTTTGCAGATTCTCCCCTTGAAGTTGAGGATGGGAATAAAATCACTTTGTTTCATTAAAAGTGTCATCCATAAAGAGGTAAACACGATAACTTGAAGAGTGACGTTTATGGACCTTTTTATTTGGAGAATACTCTGAAAATACATTTAACAACTTGAGGATCCAATTTGCCACAATGTTCTTGTGAGCATGAACAAAGATAGTACAATTACAGACACAAACTTGAGGGCTATTCATAATAGGAACAGAAGAATGAAAGATAAACATTGACTGAACAGGACTAGAGCCATTCAAAATGTGACTAGGCCACCTATTGATTAAATAATCAGCCATTAAAACTACTTCTCCCCAATATGATTTCAGTACTGTCATCTAAAATAATAGAGCTTTAGTAACCTCCAAGAGATGTCGATTATTCCTTTCTGCAACTGCATTTTGTTAAGGGGCATCTAAGCATGTCAACTCATGAACAACTTATTTCTCTTCTAGAAATTAAGACTACTTTTGGTTCACATATTCTCATCTCCTCCATGATATGTCATTTTTCCGTTTTGCAATTCCATTTTGTTGAGGGGCATCCAATCACATCAATTCATTTCTCTTTTAGAAATTAAGACTATTTTTGGTTAAAAAATTCTTGTCTCCTCGAAGAGATGTCAATTTTCCCTTTCTACTACTCTATTTGGTTGAAGGGTATCTACACACGTCAACTTTTGAACAACTTATTTCTCTTGTTGAAACTACGACTATTTTTGGTTCACATATTCTGGTCCATTATCTGTCTTTAAGTGTTTAATTGCTTGTTCAAATTTTGTTTGAACTAGGTGATAAAAAATCACAAACAATTAAGTCATTTTAGTTTTATCTTTCTTCAAATAAATCTAAGTAACGTGTGTAGTTATCAATAAATGATACAAACCATTTAATACCAGAAATATTAACAATAGAAACCGGTATTAGAGTGGATAAGATCAAAAGGTGCATTACTTTTACAAAAAGTAGTGGGAAAAGTAACACAATGGTGTTAGTAAACTGACAGACATCATGTTGAAAAGACTTAACTAATTCTTTCAAAAACAAAGAAGGAAACATATTCCTAAATAAACTAAAAGATGGATGACCTACATGCCTATGTTCAAGCCAAATTTGAGAGGAGATATATAGTTAGAAGAAGACTGATTACAGGAATTACCCTCCCTTCTTCAAACATCGTTTGAACTTCATTTTGAACTAATTGAAAGTAATATATCCTTCCTCGTTCCTTAGCAACTCCAATCGTCTCCTCCAAGACAAAATCCTAAAATATACAATGAGATGAAAAGAAAGTTCCTACACAATTTAGATCACGTGTGAGTTCATGATGGAGGGAGATAAGGTTATTGGAGAGTTCAGGAACATGAATGTTTTTTAATGTAAGAGAGTTGGTGAGTTTGAATGTTGCCACACCCAAGAATGGGAATTTGTGAATCATTTGAAAATATAATGTGATTTGTACCAAATAAAATAGATGGAAAGTAAAAGAGAAAGATTGGAAGAGGAGGGATCATGTGATCTGAAGCACTAGAATCAATTATCCAAATATCCCCTGGTATAGAGTATGAAATATTAAAAGAAGAAAAGCTAGAATTCTTACCAATCATGACAAGAGAGCAAGTGTCCGAGGACTTACTCAAGGAAGTGCTGATAAGAGCTCTTAGGCTTTCTAATTTATTTTTAGCAAGAGAAATAAAGTCCTTTTGTTCAACTATGGTGAAAAAGAAAAAAAAAATGTTTTTATAGAGAACATGTAGGATTTGAAGGATCCCAATCAACAGAGGAGGTCTTGACGAACAAAATGACGTTTGCAACATGACTTCTACACACCGCGAGGTGTATGGTAGTGTGGCAGTGTGTGATGCCCCTGCTGGAGACAAAACTCTGCAGGGTTTGGCCAGTCTTAGCCTTGCACTCAAGATGGCGTTGTTGTTAGAGTTGATTGTTGACCGAGGTGGTGGTAGGGGTTTTCAGCAGTTGAGATAGATTGAAAAAATGAGGGCCTAAGAACAATGAAGGTGCAAATGTATGCCGCAATGAGACGAGTACTATGGTTTTAGTGTTGTTTTGAAGGCAGCTAGGGTTTGGCGTGCAGAAGCAGAGACCCCAAGATTTGAGTTGCTGATACCAACTTGTACATTCTGAAATTCTATCTTGTGTGAATACATAACAGTTTTCATGTATATACAAGAGTCTAATCCTGATATTTACACAAGATAATATTCTAGAGTATCTCTGAATAATCATAAAGATAATGGAAAATAATTACGGAGATAATGACAATAAGTATTTACAATAAATAGTAGTAATTATAATATATTCTCAACAAATGCCATTAATTTCTCATGATTTGTGTCCGACTTGGTTTGCATTTGAGCCATGACAATTTTGATGCTAGCCATTTCTTTTCCTAGAGCTGCTACTTTCACCTCCATCAAACCTCTGTTTTCTCTCTTTCTGGGTGGCATGTATGTCTACCTGCGGGTCTCATGCAAAACTGGTATCAATTATGTACAAACAAGTGGATGCAGCTGAACAATAACAAAATAGAAACTGATATGTATATTGAAAATAAAATAAAAGGAATTATAGCGGAAAAAAGCCACAGAGCAAAGCTCCTACAGAGAGCTATGACTCTCCATCCTCCCACATTCTCCTATTTGACACCCAAAAATGTGCAAGCATGTAACAACACATCAACCTCCACCTTCTCGCTGTGCCCAACTCACTCTAACATTCCTTTTTAACCCCTTTCTGTTCTATTCTTCCTAGTATAGACCTTCAACACTTTTGGCCCATGTGACATTTGGTGAATCAGCTATCCCTTTGGGCCTGCATCCTCATTCTGGGCTCTATCACAGGCCATGGTCGCTTTTGGATTCTTGTTCTTGCTGTATATGAACCATGGTTGTGGTTGGGGCCAAGTAGAGGCAATTATTGCTTCTGGACCATCATTTACTTAACCAAATTACTAGCTTTAAGGCCTAATTGGGTTTGAAGACTCTTCTAGTCCTTGCTTTTTTCCTTGTTTGGTCTTTGTTAAAAGGTTTTTCTTATATCTTGGAATTTCACTACCTTCAAGATAACACACAAAAAGCATTAAATGTTCGTAACAAACAAAATGCATGCTAAAATGAGTACTAAATGCATGAATATAGGAAATATTAAGTGCTCATACATGTATGAATAATATGCAAATTATGCATGCATCAATTCATAGGTAGGAGTGACGACTCATGTTGGTATTTTGGGTGATATGATTATTAGTATTTTGGGCCACTCTAACGAGAGTCTATAGTAGGAGGAATAGGATTATGGTAACAGAGTTATCTTAATATGCTATAATAGAATAACAGAATCTGTTGTATAGTTAGTGTGAATTGGGAGAGGGAAGCCAGTAACTGAATAATAAAATCTGTTATTAGTTAGTATAAATAGGGGAGGGAAAGCCAGTGGAAGGGTGAGATTTCATAAGTGTTATAGGGACTTGGGAGAAGCCTAGATCTCTAGAATATTCAAGGTATCAACATTTTTTTGTACATCCTTTCTATTCCTGGCATTGCACCATATTGGTGCTAAGATCAGGTTAGGTTTCTTCATACAGTCTTTTCATTCCATATTCTGATCCAGTTTGTATCACACACTAATGTAATTCAGCATCTATCATTTACCTGTCCCCTGTTCAAATCTGTGCAAATCTATAAACAGGAAATTAGTTTCTTTTCTCCTGGCATGTTATTTTATGTTCACCTAAATGTGTTCTTTGTAGTTGAGATCTGAAGGTAAAGACTACATTGTACAAGAAGGAGATGTCATGCTGTTCCGATTCAATGTGTAGCAGAATTTACTGCTCCCAGCTGCAAGTCAGTGGAGAAGTTGAGATATGTTTATGAGACTAAGGTCAGAAAATTTTTTCAGCCAATTGCTGATTATAGTTTGGATAATCAATGTTTGTTTCTAGTGATAAATACTCTCAGCTAGGTGTCAGTGGTGAAGTTGAGACAATTTTTTATTTTAGACAAGTTAGAAATTTTTGACATAATTAATGACTACAGTTCAGAATTTTTTCAGCCAATTGCTGGTTATAATCTAAAGAGACATTGTTTTGTAATTCTGTTTTAGTGAAAGCAAATTTCATAGTGCAATACAATGAATATGCTTCAATACTTTTTAGTATAATAATAAGGATGAAAAGTCTCCCCCCGGTATATAGCGAACAATTAAAAATATAAATTATGTGCAAGTATACATTTCATGTTATACTCCAAATGTAAACACCAGCAGCTCCCTTTATATGCAGCTTTTTTTTATTTATTTTAATCATTTGGCTACATCAAGTAATGCTTAAATTATACTAGAGTTGGCTTTAGTGAATTATGCAGAAGTAAAACTTCAGATTGGTCCCGAAAAAATATGAAGGCCTTCAACAAATAAGTCTGCGATTGAGAAAATGTGCATGCCACACGTGGTCCCTGAACCTAACATCTTTCCGTGAAATAAGTCATTCGATAAGCCTTTGTTAAATAAGTCATTTGGTAATATTGATAGCACTATTCTTCTTTTTGAAGGAAACTTGCATATTGTAGCATTATCTTCATTATCACGGACTCTTACTGATGAGTAGATAGGACCCGTCCACCTGCTAATCCTGCTTAAGCATGTAATATATAATTAAACTTCATTTCAGCTTAGCTTCCAAGTCACTAGTGATTTTTAGTTCAGCAAAGAAGGAAAAATAAAAGAAATAAAATATAAGTGTGAAGCATGATGAAAAGTGGAGAAGCACAGCAAAGATTTTTATTTGCTTAGAAGCAAAATCGCTGTGCATGACAAACCACTGGCCAACTTGCAAACTACAATCACAGCTCCCTACTTGTAATACAAAAAATGATATCCTCTACTGCCATTTGATTCAAAATAGAAACAAAAATTTCTATATGGTATAATGAAGAAAAAAAAAATCATTCTCAATCATTAATCGGTAGTCTTAGTCTAATACACATGTATAAGTTGAATACTATATTTGAGGAATGAAAGCAACATACTCTAAAGTACTTTTTTTCAACCCACGTTTAATTACATACTAAAATTTATTAAAAATTATAAAAGTATGAGAGAAAAACATTAATTTAGGAGTTAAAAAAAGTGAGACCAATATAAAATTGTAATTCTTAACAAATTTTACCCTTGATTAAGATTGTGTAAAAAAAAAGTGTGTTAGAAAATTTTTTAGCATTTTTTTACAATATTTATTTGAACTATAATTGAATGGACTGTAATTTACTTGACATGTGATAACTTCTATTATGTTGAGCAAAAGCAATATGTGACACACCAAAAGTTTAAATGTAATACCTAATGTGTAACGTCTCCTATTTTTATTGCACAACTTTTAAATATTATAGAAATTATCCTATTTTAGTAACTACTTTTTGAATAAAACTATTTTGATAATTAGTTTCTAAAATTGCATTATTTTGGTTTAAAAGTCAAAATTTCAAAGATAAAAAAAAAATCTCTTGCATACATGCAAGTAATTTCTTGTTCAATAAATACTTTAAAGAGTTGCATGAGATAAGACTTTTCAAGAGTAAGAGAGGAGAGAGTAGTGTTTTAAATTTTTTAAATGGATAAAATTATGTATTTCTTATGATAAAAAAATATATTCAATATATATTAATTTATTATTTATATCTTTGCTTTTTTAAAAATAAATTAAACTATGTTCATTTAACATAAAAAGCTGTCATTTTTCAAAATCCTTTTCAAGCAACCCTAAAAAAGTCATCCATTATTTCAAGCTTATCTCTCTAAAATTTGCTGCCTGCAATGGAACAACTAAAATGCCTCGAGCAGTGTGTTTTGTCAACTCTAAATACAAGCATGTGAGACTTACCCATTTTATGCCTAGGCTATAGCTGTAGGAACATACTGCCACAGTTATCCCAGAACAACTCAACAGTGTGAGATCAACTACAACAACACTTGCAAATATAAGAATATATATTTTCATACACGAGTTTAATTTTGATGCATTGTTAATATAAAAAAATTTACACTGCCAATTATTTAGTATATATAGTGGGATAACTCTTAATTTAATTATTACTTAAATTAATAATTCTTGCTCATGTTTACATCATCAATGCATTCTAATTAAATTCAATATATGCAGTGATACATAATGCAAAACAATCAATTCATGTAAATTTCTCCCTCGAAATTTATTCTCAAGTAAAGGAAATCATTATACTGAAGAACTCAACATATCTCTTAGTAAGTTCAAAGTGATCAAGTAAAAGAGAAATACAACCCAAGTTGTAACTTATAATCAATTCTCAACATCGATCGTTTATATATATGACAGTAGCATGCCATCAATTGGTTTGGTGCGTAAACAAAGGGCAAGGTATACGTAAAATATTGAATGGTATTATTCTCTGTCTTCATGCTTAAACTTGAGATTATGCTTCCATATTTAATGCAACATGCATTGATAAGGATGATTACTTACGATTATTATGCCCCCTTACATATATATAGTGTGGTAAACAAAATTTTCCCAATAATAATGGCTTGCTAATAAGGTTAGCAACCCTTTTTAAGGGTAACATAATTTAGGTGTCTGGTTTTCATGGTGTCTAGCATGGTTTTACTATAACTCTTGAGAGTATTGGTTTGCATAATTACCTTTGTACAATTTCTACCTACTTAATTTCTAAGCTTGCTGTAGAAAATTAAACTTGTTCAGTTATTCGCCATTTTTAAATGACATATTTGATTTCACTATCAAAACCATAGTTGTCTCTATAATTTATAGAAAAAAAATCAATGTTAAAAGAAGAAACATATCAACACATAATTAATTTTGAGATAATACAGTGAGTGTGATCAAGTTACTTCAACTTAATTATTTTTTAATATATTGACTATGTTAACAGAATTTAAATAAATTAGACATTTGTAAATATATATTTTTAATAAATGTTACTTATACTTTAAAATATTAACTTGTAAAATAAAGTATTAATTAATTTTAAATTTATATATTTTTTTGTAAAATTAATATGTTTAGTAAGAACTTGTGATTTAATAGTTAAATTAAGTATTTAATGTTTATACAAAATTATTAAGTATAATAATTTTAACAAAATTTATTTATAGAATAACTTGATTCTACTTTAAAATACTAATAATTATTAAATTTTATTGAGCTACTAGACAAGTCAATAATCCTCCTATAATATATATATATATATATATATATATATATATATATATTTATATTTAACTATGACACGTACATTTTATTGGGTTCTTATATGTTTGCATCAAGCAATTAATAATTGTAAACAAATCTAGATAAATAGATAATATTTGTTGATATACTTCCACCTATTTTTTAGAAGTATTTTAATTTTAAAAAAATTAAAATGTTAACAACGGTTCTAATATATATTTTCACATAGTTTTATAATTTTTTAAGTTGAAGCATGTTAATAAACTACAATTTTGGTGTATTTAAAAAAAAACATAGTTATAACTTGCCAAAATATACTTTCTAAAAATTTTGTGGGTTTATATTGGCAAATTAAATATATATAATTTCTTAAATATTTGACAGTGGACTTTTCTAATTTTTTTTATATACAATAAATTTTAATATATTTTTATTAGTTGTCATTTATAGTAAATTTGTTATTGTTATTTTTAACATTATGTAACCATCAATGTAAAAATTTTAAATATTATCAATTTTAATAAAATAATTTTAAATATAAAATAATAGGTATCAATCCATTATAATTTTAATTTTTAAGATATACAAAATATTATAACTAATTTTATTCACTAATAATATAAGTGACTATATATTTTGAATTTTAATAATAATAAATTTTATTATAAATACATAAAATAATGAATAAGTACACCATATAAAAATAATTTTAAATATTAATAATAATAAATTTTATTGTAAATACATAAAGTAATATCTCTCTCAAGTGACTGCTCAAATAATATTCGTTTAGTGAACTTGCTTAATTAATTGAAATATTAAAAATATTAAATATGAGCAGTTAAAATTAGATTGACTAAAATTACATGTTAAAATAGAGAAATAAAAAAGGTAAGTAAACCATTATTTTATTATATTAAATAAAACTAAATCAAATAAATAAATATTTTTATAATCAATTAATAAATTAAAATTCAAAATAAAAAATAATAACTCATATATATATATATATGTGTGTACTTAGTTTTTAAGATATAAAGATATATCACTTAAATGATTTTAGTTATTTAAACTAAATTTAATCTAATAAACTCATTATTAATGGAAATTATTTTCTTTAGTTTTTGATTTTTTTAATGAATTAATAGGTACGACAAAGAATAATTATACATCTACGAGATGGGCATCACTTTTCAATTTTCATCCATAGGATAGAAGGTGAGTTAGATGAGTCAATTAGGCGCGTTGGTATCAAATTGCCATTCCTAAGTTAATGAAACTGTGTATCGAAATGCATTTTAAAAAATAAAACTTACAACTTTTTATTTAAAAGTAAAAATGTTAACATCATAAATATTTTAGTTATAATTTTTAATAAAAAATAGATTTATTAATTCCATAACCATTACCTTGTACATGGCTTACATGTTCGTTGTTAACAAGTAATTGGCCCTACTTGGTTGTGTCGTTTCATATAGAAGCTCATCATGAATTTTGGTTCAAAAATTAATTTAATCTCTTTTAACAAAAAGTGTAGTTAAAAGAAATTTGGTCATATATTTAAATAATGTTAAATGATCTAAAATTAATTCTATTTAGCATTTTAAGAAATTGACTCTGCATTTATATGTCACTTCATCTTTGCAATATGTTGTCATTTGTGTAAGCTTCTATTGATGCCATATTTGAAATGGCATTACGTGTGGGGCTCTCATACTCACTAGATTGTATTGTAGATTTTACTTTTGGGCATTATTTTAGTTATTACAAAATAAAAAAGTATACAACATATTTGTGTTTGGTCATTCAAGCAAAGAACGAATTAATTGGTTAGACTAAGTTGTTTGATAGGAAATTTATCTTCATGTCGCCATTTGGCTGGTTATGTGATAGATTTTGTCCATCAAACTTAAGATGAGATATCATTTTCAATAATATAATGCAACCACAGGACATCTCAATAAAGAGGTTTCAATACTTTAATAAGATTTCGCTTTTTGACCAGACAATGGCAGAGCTAACCATCAAAGAGCATCATTATTTGAGGCATGTTTCAAAAATAAAAATGAAAAATTCAATTGTTAATTGCACTTTTAATTCTCTTTCTTTAATTTATGTATAGTTTTAGCTACCCTAATTTTAATTACTCACATTTGGCTTTTATAATTCTTAATTGTTTAAGGATGATTATAAATAAAAACTATATAAAATTGAGAATTAAAATTAAGAAGATAAAAATTGCATGAAAATTAAAAGAATTTGATTTTCAAAGCAAACTTTTCGAGTTCGAACTGCGTTAACGAGTGCTTTTAGAGCATTTATCAACCAGTCCCGTTTCGAAATATCAGTTAAATATTATATTAAGCAGCATAAGAGCATCAAGTATTAACAGAAAACGACAGATAAATTTTTTCATTATTGAACTTAAGTTTCCTAAATACGTTTTCTATTGTTGAAGATAATTAATTCACAATTTTATCATTCTTGATATATTACTATTGGGTCAAACCTTAGCTAGCTTAATATCTACTAAATAGCAGATATGAAAAATCATGGGTTTACTTTAGGTGCCCCACTTGGTGACAAATGAAATCTCATTATTTGATTGACTCTGTTCTGTAGTGTTTGTAATTGCCCCTTCACCATAAATTCTCTTGATTGTGTCATCCAAAAACTTGTTCTGTTATATGAGACTTACCTGGCAACTATATCTTTGTCCACCTAATTTATCATCCAATTTGCACATATTTTTTCAATTCTAAATTAAATATTATTTATACGTCCCTAATTAACTTCTAGAGTGTGAAAATTTGTGCATTAATTTTTCCCTAGTTGACCTTGCCCCTTCACTTCGTATGTTAGAACTGTATATATGCTAATACAATAGATACTAATGTCAGATGAAATCAGTTTTGAGATGTTACACTCTTTAAAGGACCAAAAAGGGTGTGATACCTATTTGGTTGTCATTGAAAATTTGTAGTGGATGCTGATATTTTCTTGTTTAGGGAAGTGAACCATCTTTTGTTGATAGGAAGAAAATGTAAATATCTAAGTTTTGGTTCATAGTTGAGGTTACAAGCTGAGTTTTTCATGCTACTGTACTAGATTTCTTATTGAGTGAACATTAAATCCAATCTGTATAATCAATCGTATGAACAAAGTTGTACTTGAATAGTCAACTAATTACTGGTTAAAGTTTAAATTTTGTACTTACATTGGAATTTAGCATAAGATTGAGATGGATATATGTTACCTCAAATAATTGTATGAAGAGACAAACTTTCGAAGAGTTAAGCTTTCATTGATTAAAGTGATACTTCACAGCATAATGCAAACATTTAATCTGATTTATTGTTCGCTAGAATCAACCCTTTTCCTGTACCTCAAATATTAAAAGATATAAGGAACGTTGAAAACAAACAACCATTCTCAAATCAGAAATGTTGTGATACAGATTTCAGAACAGGTCAAAATTTAGTGTTAGCGTGTTACCTATGGGTGAGTTATGAATGCAAGTTGAGCAATGATATAAAATGCAATGATACAGCAACTAGTGCAACCTAGTGCTTATGTCAAAAAAGAATAAATTGAGATGTTTTGGGGACAAATAGTTGCATCCACAGCCTTAAGCATTAGGCACATAAGACGGAGCACACAGTCAAGGTTCCATTCCTGTGGGCAGTGTGGGGCATCAACCTCATGGTCCCCCATTTTTTTTTTTTTTTCTATTTTTGATGAAATCATCTAGATATTTAGAACAAAGAAACAAAATGTCTTTGTGCATTAGCACATTTCAGATACATGTCAGAATAATGGTTCTCCTTATCTTTGAATGTGCCATGTCATGCAAGGGTCTAATTAGTTTTGTAGATAGCAGAAATGAAGTCAATCATGTAAGTGATAAGAGCTTATAAGTGACTATGTTCCGTGTACCCAAAAAAAGAGACTAGATTTTAACAGTGTAACCAACTTGTTTGGTAAATGTTCGTGTTCGTAAAAACATGGTCATGTGCAATAAAAATAAAAAAAGACAGTAGCACAAAGGACTGCACTTACACTGATGTTTGCTTCTTTTTTCTTTTTTTGTAATAAGAAAGAAAAACACAATTCTGAGATCTAAAATGAATTCCAACACCAGTTAATAAAACACTGAAAAAAATTACTAAAATGAAGCACTCAAGGAAGAAAATTAATTGCTATCGTGTAATATATATCAAATGATTAAGTGAGTCTTAGACTTTATATATATAAATGCAATAAGATTATTGGGGAATTTAATGACTAAATTTGGTTTTAGAAATTTCTCATTTCTCAATGCTTTTCCTTCACTAACTCAATTTAATATTAGTTCTCTATCTTTCGCACTATTTCACCTGAAAATTGAAATTCAGATTCTCTCAAGGCCATCCAGTCCTTCTTAAGATATGGTGCACTAGTAAGTTTGGTACTCAGTTTTATTAAGAAAACTGATACTAATTTTCAAGCAGCACCTAAGCATCTTTCACAATTTCTACCTTGACAAATACTTAAATATACTAAATTTTCTCAACAGTGTGTGATGTAACAAGGTAATCTATTTATAAAAACAAAAGTTTACACCTTTTTCTGAACTAACAAAAATTTCCAAAGCCTATATATGCCAAAAAAATCATATTCAATATATAATTTTTCTGAATAAAATCATTAACAATTGAATGACATTTTATCTTTTTATCCTAGACTTGTTTTATATATCATTTTTCGGTTTAATTAAACTGTTCCTTTTTTTGGGTGGCATGGGCATTAGTAGTGGGGTTCAAGTCCTTGCTCAGAACCAGATGATGGGTTTAGAGAAACAATGGGCTCTGTACTCGGGTGCCGTGATCAGTGTTGAGTGAGAAGAGCTTCAGTTGTGTCTGTTTGTCTTTTGTGCTTGTAAGTTAAAACTACTACCCTCAAATTTTATTAACTAAAAGATGACTTGTTTGTGTCACTAAAAATGTTTGGTTGCAAATTGACCCCACAATTCAGCACCGGAAAACAATGACTTTGCACCCACTTCTCTCATTAAAAGTACCATACACACTTTTCGTGAGTGTATTTTAAGTCTCTTTGTCTTTCTTTCTTTCTCTTCATTCATTGGTTCTTCTTAATCAACCCCCTCTCTACCTCTCCCTCCTCAAAATATGAATTAATTAAACCACACAAAAAGAGACTAGAAGCATGAAGAAGATCAATCTAATACTGAGAAAGTGCAAGAGTTTGTCAAGGCAACTAGGAAGATCTTCATCGTATAGCAGCCTGAGGTCTAAATCAACTAAGGAAGACATTTGGGGTGGACATGGCATGCAAGAAGATGAACATTGTGAAACTATATTTGTTGGAAGCACAAGGAAACGGTATGTGATCAGCTCCAAGTATCTGAACCATCCTCTTCTTAATGCTCTAATCAACAAGTCAAAGCAAAAGGGTTGCGATGAAAATGTGGTGGTCGTCAACTGTGAGGTGGTTCTCTTTGATCATCTATTGTGGATGCTAGAAAATGCAGATCCAAAGTTTAGTTCTGACTCTTTGGAGGAATTGGCTGAACTCTATGTGTTTTAAGAGTTTTCAAAGTGGCAGATTGCTAAATCCTGATGTAATTAAGTATGTTGGGTTGTGTCTGCTTCTTGCAAATGTAATGGCTGAGAGTCCTTTTTGTTTTCTTTGTTGTTATAACTTGTGGTGCATTAAATGGTTCACCAATTGCATATATTATTTCTATTCTAACTTTTCAAAAGGCATATATATACTGTCTTAACTTACATTTATGTTGAGAAGCTGTTCTTGTTATCCCAAAATCTTAGATCCAATAATCGTAAACTAAAAATATATTTTAGATATTTAGAAATGTCATTCTAAATATGGATTCTAAAATTAATTGATATCCACAACAATGTTTCTTGCATATATATATATATATATATACCTTTCCAATTTTGTTCAATTAGAAACTATTCAACTTTTAGCATTTATATTAATAAGATAAGATAACATGATATAAATATTTTTAAATATATTATATTTTTAATATTTATTTAACTAAGTTTAACATGACATGATAAGTCTATTCATTAGTCATATTATATTTTTCTCTCTTGCATAAATTTTATTTAAAGACCAAGTTTAAAATTAAAAGGAATAATATATATATATATATATATATATATATATATATATATATATATATTGTTATTATACTTTGTATTAAAGATAAAATAAGATAAAAATATATCTTACTTTATATTATTATAATTTGAACAATAATTATACCTTAACATTTACTTTCTTCAATTTTTCTTGCTAAAATATTTGGTATAAATAAGGAAATAGTTCTCTCATTTGTGTATATAAGATTCTTAAAAGTGAATAACATCTTTCATCTCCTCAAAGTGAACTAATAGTAGTATCCTATAACAAAGGTAACTAAAAATTATCCTATTTTTCCTTATGTATATTTTATCTCCTTACCTTTAGTTGATTTGAATTTCCATCTCTCTTCTCTAAATTAAAAACTTAAAAAATAAGCATGAAAGGATTTGGAGTTTAAAAAAAAAACGTGAAATCAGATTATTTCCACTTTTGAATTTGATATTTTAAAACCGTTGTTTGTGTTAGTATAAGAATGATAACATTGTCTTCCATTAATTAGTTTACTTACAAAGTGAGTAACTAATAATTTAAAAAACATTAGTGATAATGTTACGAAGTTGATAACTTAGTAGGTCTTAACATATCATTTTGATTTATATTATTTTATTTATTTATTTATTTAGAATATAATAGATGTTTCTTTTTTTTTAATTCTATATATGCATGGAAATACAATTTTGTTTAATATTTAAACTAATTTTTTTTGTAAAGGGATTTGTTTGTTACGAACGAAAAGAGTGAGACTTTGAATAGTTTTAGCATGATAGTTTGGTTTAGCCACGTGTTATAACATTTTTTAATTTTAAATCTTTATTATTTATATAAATATACAAACAAAAAAGTAATTATGTAATAATCGATCATAAAAATCATTTAGTTAAAAAAATTTTATCTGAAATATCAAAATTTTATAACTAAATTATTTGTTTGTATTTTAATATGTCACGCTTATATAGATATGATTGATAAGAAAATTCTTTACTCTTTCTTTTGACTTTGAAAAGTAATAAGATCTTTAAAACAAGTCAAGAATAAAAATGTAAAATTGTAACTTTCAGACAAATCCTTTGCGCCCTTAAAGCATTGCAACATACTTGTCGCCCCCATCTCACATCTAAAAAGAACCACCCTATGAAATACCCAGTCTGACATGGACACGACTAATGTCTAAAATATAGGATACTGGGACACCACTTATATATAAATATAAAATAAAATAAAATATGATTGACATGACAAAAATTTAAATTAAAAATTAAGATTTGTTTATTTATCTTCTTAAGATAAAATTGTTAGACTTTACATTTTTTATATAATATTTTAATAGGGTGTTTGGTACTTAGAATCTTTTAACTTTCCTGAAAAATGTTATTTAAAAAATTTCCTTACCCATGTTTGGTATAAGATACAAAAAAATATTTTCAAGAATATGAGATTCCTGAGAAATTTGGATTGTGAAGAAATTACTTTCATTTTTTTCACCTCAATAAGTGGGTATCTTCAACTTACCCAGGAATCTAAAATTTTTGGACAAAAATGTCTCCCTTTGCCCTATTTTACTTTACTAATTCCAAATCATTTTTGCACTGTCTTTTCTCTCTACTTTATTGGTTTCTCTCACTCTCTCTTCTCCATAGTTGTTCTGCTCATACTCTTTGATAAGCATGTACTTTTATTTTTGGTAAGTTAAGAGTATTTTTTAAAAGTAATAACATTCATAGGTAAGTTTTTTTAATACCAAACATGAGAATAGGAAAAAATAAAAAGATTCTTAAGAAAGTTACTCAGTAAACAAATATGGGTAACAAATTATCCAGGAAATACATTCCTGAAAATTTCATTTAATAAGATTCTAGATATCAAACACTCCTTAACAAAAAATACTAAGTAACATCATTTCACAATGCAAAAATTGTCTCTTTACAAAAAGAAAGTCTTAAAATAAGAAGATAAATAAAATCTCTTAAGGGTTGTGACCTTCTTGATCATCATCATTGAAAAACATAGCCTCTAGCTCTAGCTCATCAAGTGACAAATTAGCAACTTCAAGCATTCTAGTGATTCAAATGCATCTCCTGCTATGTCCCACATTTTTGTTTCCTCTTGGTCATATTGTGAAGAATTTCTTGAAAGAAGATGGAGGTTGCTATAAACAAATGCTAGATCTTTTATCCTATGTGGTCTCATCTTGTTTCTCTTCATAGAATAAATAAAAGAGTTAGGCCACCAATTTCTTTTCCAACATGAAGAAGAACACGGTTGTCTGAGTAAAATCGAGATATATTTTAAAAGTTTGCAAACTCTACATTCACTTGTTTTCTTACATCCATATCAACAAAGTATCTTTTGAAGCATTTTATCCTTTCACAAGTAAGTTTCATATCTTGACGTGGAGGAACTCTATTAGAATCTCCACTTAGCCATTCATGGCTATAATATCTACGATATAAAAAATTAGTTATAATAACCTATAGAAATGTAACAAAAAATTTTAAGCATTGAAAATATTATTTAGGAATATAATTTATTATCTTGGATTTAAAGAATGAGCTAAATAATGGAGAGGTGTCCTACTCTTTATCCAACGTTCAATTAATATGGAGTGCATAATGTTATAAAAGCTTAATTCTTCACTTTCTTTCTTTCTTTCATATTGATATATGACTTTCCTTACCTTTTCAATCATTAAGTCTCACATTTCATACACTAAATGGAGAGATGAAGCTTCTGTATCCATTTTTCTAAGAACATCATAGATCAAACTAGTGAAAGATAATATATAATCAACTTTGTCTCACCAAACATCATCCAATAATGTATCTTTCACAAATTTAGCTTTTCCAACATCATCTTCCTTATAAGAAGACCATTCATCACTAATAATCATCTCTTGGAGTCCTTTCTTTAATTGTTTAAATTTCTTAAGCATTACTATAATATAGGCAAATTTTGTGGAGCAACAAAAAGCAATTCCAATGAGTTGAAAATGAACAACCTTATGGTATGACCCATGATAAAGTTTTTTATGAACACAACATCTTTCGCTATTGCAGTGATCAAAGAACATTTTTGATAAGAAACATTATTTTTTCTATAATCTTAGCTGCACATATATTTTTCAAAACAAGATTTAGAGTATGTACAACACAAGAAGTCCAATAAATAGAAGAAAAATCAGTCTCAATCATTAAACCTACTGCCTTACATTTAGGTATATTATCAGTCACAATTTGCATAACCTTTGAGAGCCCAACCTCCATAATTACATCTCTTATTTGTTTGACTATAAAATCTTTGTCTTTAATCTCATTCGAGCATTCTATAGCCTTTAGAAATATAGATCCACTCTTTGTTATAGTCATAAAATAAATGAGAGGCATTCTTTGGAGATCATTCCATTCATCACTAACAATGCTAACACCTTTTTGACTCCATATATTTTTTATTGGCTCCAATAGTCTCTCTACATGTCTTCTTTCATTTTTGAAGTAAATTTGTTCTTAACTTATTATAGCCCAAAAGTTGAATCCATTTATATAATTGTTGGCAACAAAAGAAAAAACTCTCCTATAATATGAATTTATTGCTAAATGAAAAGGCAATCCAGATTAGTAGAACATCCTAGCAATTTCGTAATATAATGTCTCTCTAACTTGCATATTGAAAGATTTTTCTAGTGGTGCAGATGTTTTCCTCTTTTTAAGATCAACACCATCATTGGCTTCTATGGGTGATTCATTAGAAACAAGAGGTAAATGGACAAATTTTACTTTTAACTTTTCTATCCTCAATGTGCTTTATTCTCTATCTTTTTTAAATCAACAAGTTTTGAGGGTGTTACCTTTTAACAACCTTTAACTCATTTCATGTAATCTTCAGCAAATGTGGCCTCACTTTAGTATAAGATCCATTGAAAGTTCGGTCACAAAAATTGCATTTGACTTCATAGTTTTCACCACCTCCATACACACTTCATTTATCTTTGTAACATAATTTCATAGGGATTTGGTGTCATCATCTTATAAAGTTTGACTAGAAGTACTTATTTCTAAAAGAATTAGAGATAACTAATCTAGTTCCTATTTATTTTTAAATGAAATAGAGCACATTAATACAAAAATAAAAAAGAGTGATTAACAGAATAAGATATGCATTTTTTATAGTTGAATCGATGATCTTTCAATTCAATTTGTCTTTTTTACTAATTCTTGAACACAGGATCTAATCAAATTAATGACATCCTTATTATTATAAATTAAAAATTTTAATAAATTGAGTTGAAGAAACACTATCTAATTTTCTAAAAAAAAAATTATTCTAAACGTGGTTCATATGGATAAAGCACTCTTAAATTGATGTGTAGTTGGTGAGAAATTTTAAATTCTAACCTTGATCAACACTATGGCAATTTT